CTTGTCGTACATGTTTAGTACGTTTTCTTCTATAATAAAAAAAAAAAATGGTTTTTTTTTTTTTTTTTTTTTTTTCCACCTGAAAACCACCCCCCTGAAATTTCACTTTTCTAAGTTTTCTCTTTTTTGTTAGTTGATTATGGTGGGGGACGCCATGCGCATGCGATTCGCGCGCCCCGATTTTGGGTGAGTGGCTTCGCCTACGCGCGGCGCGGCCACGAAAAAACTCGCCCATGCATCCTAGACCGCGGGATCCGAGGCCGAGGGTGCCACATAACCTCACGGTAAGTCAATTAATTTCGTCATCCTTCGTTATACCGGTCGTCCACTCAGGGTCCAAAGCGTAGTTGGAAGGGTGGTGAATTTGGTGGGGGGCAATTCATGGGGAACGGGGAGTTGTTGCTTGCAGAGGACCGGTACCTGCCCATAGGAGGCCAAGGAGGCTGTGGTCCTTGAGTTAAACATTTCGAAATCAAAAAGTTCAGTTTCCTCAAATAGACCTCATACGTGCTACGAATCCCCCTCAGCGGCGGCCATCCGCGGCCAGTGGGGAGGGGGGTTTGGGATTTGGGAAGCGCCATGGGGCGGCGCAACCCCAGCCCCACCCCTTCAAAAAAAAAAAAAAAAAAAAACTAATTTTTGGGTGGGGGGTTTGGGGTGAGTGAAGGTATTTCAAACAAAATAAAAATAAAAAAAAACAGCGCTTTTTTTTTTTTTTTTATTGATTGATTAATTGATTGATTAATTGATTGATTGATTGATTGATTGATTAATTGGCCCCACCGGCACACACACACACACAGGTAGGATTGTATATTTCCATGTTCTAGCGGAAGATTCATTCGATTTTGCTTTTTTTTTTTCGTTGATTGATTGGTTGATTGATTGGTGGGGATGGGGTTGCCCCCCCGCCCCCCACAGACGCACACACACACACAAACGCTGTATTGTATATTTCCATGTTCCAGCGGAATATTCATTCGATTTTGCTTTTTCTTTTTTTCGTTGATTGATTGATTGATTGATTGATTGATTGGTCAACAGAAAAATTCGGGATATAAAACTTCAGTTGAAGAAAAGTTGAGTTGAGAATAGACAAATGAAACGTAGATCAGAGAGATCAAACGAAACACAGGTACAAAAAGTTCAACATGCAGCGCATGAAAAACAGATTATACAGTAATTAATACGTCTCCGGTGGGTTGGCACCTCGGCCGGTTTCGACAGCCGCCACGCTGTCTCATCAGGGGGACATCCATCAACTCCCTAGACTGCTTCATCAACTCCCTCAAACCCACCTCCGTGCGTAATAACCGCAAGCAGTCATTACTACGACGTCGGACCCGGAAGACCCGGAAAGACCAAAGGCGTATTCCTAATTACTATTTATCCCCGAATTCAAGCGACATGGTACACTACGAAAAAACGGTACACTACGCGAAAGGTCGAAACCAAAATTAACGCCGCACTTCAGACAAAAGACGCGGGGAAACATCTTCCCGCTATCGAATCAAACCAGTCCAAACACTCGAGGCTATTCTAAGTCACAAAAGACGATTTTCTGTAAAAAAACCTTCTATCCGCAAAAAAGCAGGCAGGCCCTTCAGCCGATCCCAGAGTCTCCCACGCTGGGCCCGGGGGACATCGGACAAAAAACCCTCCGCGCTCTGACACCGGTTGGCAGAGCCGATCCCTCTCCCTGAGGCTCAGACAATGCAAACAAAAACTAAGAACTTTCACCTGAGCTGGGCTACAAACTACCCTGGCAAGCAAAAACACGAAACATACCACACCCTGTCCCTACGTCTCAAAAGCTGACAAAGCAAAGCACAAATGAAAACAATCTTCTACTCAATTGACCATACCCTGTCACTAAATCTTGACGTGAAAAAAACATAAAAGGAAGCAATAGGCTAAGCGTAGAAAACATGTTACATACCCACTGCCGTTTCCCACACGTCAGGTGACAACAACACTAACCATACAACCATTCATACGTCCATCCCCAAATCGAATCTCTCCCGACTGCAAAGCGTTTCAAAACCCGTTGCAGAGAGGTGCTCGGAAAGTCCTTCAGCATGAGTTCACGTTGCAAACTCAGAACTCGCAGTGGGATTGCTGATCGCACATTTGTGTTCCTCATGATACGGTGTAAGCAGCTATCAATAGCTGCACTCTTCTGCATCTTACAGCCCCATGAATAGTACGTCTGTCCATTCTTGAACTCCAGTTTCTCGTCCTCCCACATCGAGACTTCATTTTTGGCAGATTGTACGCAACGCAAGTATGGATGCAGGACGTCCACAGTCATTTTAGTCCCCAAAAAATCCCATGAACCTTGCTCCTGATCCGTTCGTTTCAAGGTGAGCCCATTGGGGTAGCACACTTCGAAACGACTTCGAATCAAATCCACCGGTGTCTGCTTCTTACGCCCGTTGATGATGACCAAACTAACGTCGTCCATAAGGCGGAAACCCAAAACCGAAAGGCGCCAATGCCCCAGACTATTCAAAAATTTGAATTCGGCAAAGGTGCACAGAATACAGGCAAGTGGCGGACTCGTACTCTTGCCCATCGGTATACCAACAACTTGCCTCAACAAAACACCGGTAGCCCGTGTGAACGTGTGCTCCAACTCCCATCGCACAAACTTTTGAATATCAACGAAGGCTAACTTTCTCCAGGCTTCGTCTCCAACCGTTGATCCGAAAGAGCAGCCCTTGCCCTTCGTGTTAACCCGTACCGAATTCCTTCCCTTCCTCTCATGGTGATCTATGACCCAATCGACTGCATCAACAATATCATTATGAGGCAATTTGGTAAACATGTCCTTGATATCATGGGACATAGATACCAAATCGAAATCCCCACATGCCGATTTAGCAATCCTCCGGTTGCACTTCTCCAACCTCGGTACCAGGTCGCCGACAGATTTCAAATTGAAATTGCTGCCAGTAGGCATAGTCCTCAACAGATGGTTGAGACCTTTGGCTACTGCACGACAAGTACGAACAGTGGGTTCAGAGAAGGTCGGGCAGATGGGCCTATACCGCGTCAGGTCCTTATGCTTCGGCATAATATAGGCTTTACCCACCTTCCCTTTCACATCCCACCGCACAAACTTTTGCAGATTCATATCTTTCGCCTGAGCTCGCATCCTCCGGTGTACCTCCGCCTCAGATTCCTCCACAATGTTATAACCTGCTGAAGTCACAAACATCATCATCATCCCTTCATAGTATGAAGCTGGGCACATGACGAGTGTCTCGCCCGCATTGCGATCCACCGAAGTCGGTACCAAACCATCGAGAGCCATCTTCACCCCCTCTACTTCACTAGGATCCAGGAATTTCTCACCTTTCCCAGAGCTCCCGCTCATACACTTCGTCTCCGAGTGCTGACAACAAATCTCGGGTCCAGTCCAGTTACTCCACTCAGCAAACCCTGCTGCAATTTCCCTCCCCAACTGCTTCACTCGGCCTGGAATACCCAACTTAGGAACATTCGTCGCATGACAAATAATCGGATTGATCCCTTCCAACTCCTGCTGGCGGAACTGTACGTGGACACCTACCCGAGGGTAGGGAAGCCCTGCACAAACGCAGGTAGATACTTCAGCTTTCGCAAAACGACGCTGATTATGTATCAATTCCGCGACCGAAGGGTTTTTAACCCAAACGATCCGGATCATACTCCGTGCAGCATCTCTCAAGCAGGGAGGAACAGGTACCGCCTCGATCTTGTCATTGACAAGCTTCCGAACTTCCACCAAACGGATACGGTAATCGAACTTTAACCGTATGATCAACTTGGCATTCAATTTCCATCTGTAGGATAGCTTGATTGCTCGAACGATGAAACGACGCAGGTAAGCTGCTGACGATGCTTTCTGGAAATCACCCGCAGCCTTGTTCAAACGCAGCAGCGCCTCCAAACTACATGTCTTCATAACTTCGAGACGACGAGGATTGCGGAATAATGATCTCAGAAAACGCTTGTCAAAGCCAGCTTTAGGTAGCCACCTGACCAAACGCACCATGTCAAAGGTACCTCCCTTCTCAAAATCCACTTTACACATTCTAAGAAGCTTCCGCTGTCGCCCGCAGCAAACGATCGAATTACTGAACGCGCGCGCAACCGATTTCCAGCCTCCACACCATGCGTTACCGCTATCGATAAAGAACGAAAAATGTACAGCAGCCTTCTCTTCCTGTGCCGACAACAACTTGTAGAAATCCACCCTCCCAACCTCATCCTTCGACATCGAAATACTAATTGGCACAACCTTTCGCATCCTGCTATCCCTGGGAGCTCTTACTCCTGTCCTCGCATAGCTCTTAGCACGCTCTCTCTTCCCCCTTTGATTCCTCTTCCTGGCCCGCCTGGCAGCAGGTCTACCTGTTGTATTAAGTACAGGAGACCATCTTCGAATGAACAGAAGTTCCAAACTAGGCAAATCGGTCGCATCACCAACTTCGATTGGCAGCAAAACGTAAGACTCTGACCCATACACCTGCCACCATCTATATAAGTGAGTCTGTTTCTCACCTCGATCGCAAGAAGAGATGTGCTCCTTCCATCGAATATCAAAACGCCGTTTAGTTTGTCCAACGTACTGCGCTTTGCAAAATGGTGAGGACAGAATGTAGACCCCCCCCAAACGTTCTCCACAGGCTTCGATGCCTAAACGCTAATAAAGACAGAGCCAAGAATCCTCACATTTATGTAGCCAACGTATCTGCCCCATAAAGGTCAGTAAGATGATAACCATCCTATACAAACTCTCGACGGTAGAGTCAAGAGGCCGGTCCTTACGAATGAATATGAGGGCTCTGCAAAGTCTCCAATACTCCGCCACAGTTCAGTTATCTGGTTCATCGTCCTTTGCTGTCTCCTCCTCGGACTGTTCTTCATGCTCGTCGTTTTCCGAGGTCTCCATCGTTGCCCCCGTAGCAGCTACAGCTCCCGCTTCGGTGTCGTACGCCACTTTAGAACGCTTCTCGGTAATCGCCAGGATCATATCCATTTTCTTCAAACCTTCAAAAGGAACATTCTCCACCCTGCAGATCTGCTTCAACTCTTCGATGTTACGGTCACCCAAGTCTCGTATGTTATCGGTGACAAATAGTAATCTCCCCATTGTGTCCGGTGATGCCGGCACCTTCTTCGCCTTCTGCACGCCCCTAAGAGATCTCGGAGTCTTCTTGGCAGGTGACAACTTCATAGGTTGACGTTTCACGCTCAACATCAGGCGTTTAGGATCCAACACGCTGCGTGTCGCTGTCCGCTTAGCCGGAGTCTCCATTGGTGGGCTGTCGCCAGTGGTCCGCTCCGCGCTGCGCTTCCGCTTTTCACTGATAATTAGGCGTTCCGCCTGCTCGCTTAGAGCCTCGATCTCGCTACTTTCTGAGTCGCAGCTCTCATCTTCAGAGGACGCATTCACGGGCACTTTCCCTTTGCCCTTGCTCTTTGTAGTCTGCGTAGTCACCAATTGCTGATGCAATTCCTCGCACACGCTTCGCATGTGCTTGCGAATCTCCATTCGTAGGTCCTTACGCAAGGCTTCCCGACTTTCGACTTCCAAACGTTTCTTCTCCTCTTTCTTCTTTAATCGCCGCTCCTTAGCAAGCCTTTCTTCTTCTTCTCTCAGCACTCGTTCCTTCTCCTCTCGTAAACGCTTCTCCTTCTCCATTTTGGCTCTTGCTTTCTCCTCCTTCCTCTGTTGTGCCATGTCAATGAAACTCTCATACCAGCGATGGAGCTCGCAAGATCTTCTAGTTGCTTCTTCACCGCCAGGTCTTCAGAAGTAGAGCGGCGCTCCCCGCTTCTGTCTTGATAATTTGGTGAAGTAGAACGTCCACGTCGTGGAAAGCGACGCCCACTACTCTCCCCCAACAACTTTGGGCACTGATTCTTGTAGTGCCCTGGTTCTCCACATTCGTAGCACACAGGCACAAAACGTCGCGGTTGCTCCCTAAAACTACCATGGTCACGTGAGCCAGCTCGGTCTTCCCGAGCGTCACCATGTCGCTCCCACCGATCGTCGCTTCCATAATCTTGACTACCACCTGAGCTGTAGCCAGAACCCAATTCTGGACGCCTATCACGATGGCCATCCCATCGATGCTCCCGATAAGATGAGCCCGACATCCTTCGAACCGAAGCGCAATCTTGTTGAAGGTGCGTAGTACTCGCAACGTCCACGACCTCAGATAAACTTCCAATGCAACACCAGTTGAACTAGATCAAACACACACAATGTGGTTAACACATACGTGCTCACACTCGCTGGGCAGCTTCCCCGCTGGTTCACACGAGCCTTATCGAGTTGAGAATAGACAAATGAAACGTAGATCAAAGAGATCAAACGAAACACAGGTACAAAAAGTTCAACATGCAGCGCATGAAAAACAAGTTATACAGTAATTAATACGTCTCCGGTGGGTTGGCACCCCGACCGGTTTCGACAGCCGCCACGCTGTCTCATCAGGGGGACATCCATCAACTCCCTAGACTGCTTCGTCAACTCCCTCAAACCCACCTCCGTGCGTAATAACCACAAGCAGTCATCACTACGACGTCGGATTCGGAAGACCCGGAAAGACCAAAGGTGTATTCCTAATTACTATTTATCCCCGGATTCAAGCGAAATGGTACACTATGAAAAAACGGTACACTACGCGAAAGGTCGAAACCAAAATTAACGCCGCACTTCAGACAAAAGACGCGGGGAAACATCTTCCCGCTATCGAATCAAACCAGTCCAAACACTCGAGGCTATTCTAAGTCACAAAAGACGATTTTCTGTAAAAAACCTTCTATCCGCAAAAAAGCAGGCAGGCCCTTCAGCCGATCCCAGAGTCTCCCACGCTGGGCCCGGGGGACATCGGTCAAAAAACCCTCCGCGCTCTGACACCGGTTGGCAGAGCCGATCCCTGTCCCTGAGGCTCAGACAATACAAACAAAAACTAAGAACTTTCACCTGAGCTGGGCTACAAACTACCCTGGCAAGCAAAAACACGAAACATACCACACCCTGTCCCTACGTCTCAGTTGAAGAAACGACTAACTCAAAAATTTTCAGGTTACTTTGAGAAATTTCAGTTTATCAAAAGGTTTTCAACTTTCCAGTTTATGATGCACATTTTCCCCTCAACATAAACTGAAAAGTACTTTTGGCCCGAAAGTTCGGGAACAATCTTGAAAGTTCCAACATAATATTTCAGTTTAATACAAACTGAAATGTTATGTGTTGCTTGAAATCAAACTGAAATTTTATCTTTCATTTTAATTATTTTTAATATGATTTAAAAATATAACCGAAATATTATTTTTTAAACTTTGTTTGAAGACAACTGAACTAAAATGTTGTCTCTGGCCAGGTAATTAAGCTTAAGTGTTATTTATGACCGAAAAATAAACTGAACTGTGATTTTTGGATGGAAAATTGAACTGAAATGCAATTTGTGGACGGAAAATTAAACTGAAAGTTTATCTATGCTTGAAATCAAACTGAAAGATGATTTTTGGAAGGAAGATTGAACCAAAATTTTCTTTGAAGGAAAAATGAATTGAATTTCTTTTGTTTGAAGGAACCTATGCTCTGAATTCTCTATCATTCCTTATGGTTACCCTATTTTGTATTGAGGTTTCACAAGGGTTATAGACTTATGGAGTTGTCCATTTGCTTTGCCTTTCCTCCCTGGCATCCTCATTGCAGGCTACTAGAGGGCAGCACTGGCACTATAATGGGTGCTCACCTTCAATGACAAAAAGTTGTGTTTGCTAGTAACACCCATCAAACAACCGGAGTTACTACCTTCTTCCCCCGAATACAACGTACGGTCATTATAGCTGAATTCGGCGGATCTTTCAGTCTAAATACAGCTATAATGACCGTAAGTTGTATTCGGGGGAAGAAGGTAGGACAATCCACCAATGAATTTCACAAATGTTGTGACACACATAAATCAACCGGTGTCTAGATTACCAGCCAGGCCATCCAGGCTGCCTGTGCCTGGCCCGAATGGCCTGGCTAGGGAAACTGTGGGCAAGAACCTGCCAACGTTTAGAACAACCCAAATGGCAAAAAAACAAAACAAAAAACAATAACAACAACTCAACCTATATATCTCAAGACTGCCACCCTTTAAAAAAAGAAAAAAAAAGAAACGAAACAACAACTCAACCTTTTTTGAACCCTTAAACTCCGGGCAAGGTCCCATAAAAATTTTGGCCAATACTCGCACTGAATTTTATTATTGCATTAAAAAAAAAAACTCAAACCCTTTTGCACCCTTTTTAACCGCTACAAACTCAATCTATATCCTTCAGACCCCTCAAGTGAGAATGCCCAAAATGAGAGGCAAGGCCGGATTTGGGCATGCCTTTGCGCAAGGACATACCTCAGCGTCAGAAAAAGAAATAAAACCTAAATGACCCACTCAGGTACCCCAGGCGGTTGGGCCCATAGTACTGACATGGATCCCGGTCTTACAAGTGTTTCATGCCTAGACGGATGCACAATATGATATACAAACAAACATATAAACTACTTCAAACTTCAGGAATTTCCTGGCTATAGACTAGAGGTTGCCCATCTGGTCACAAACCAACTCAGAAACTGACTGAACACACTTATCCGGCTCTTAGTACATTTTGAGTGCTTCCAAAATAATACTTGTAACAAGTGATGCTGGGAGTGAAAAATCCGTACATTAGAAATGAACTCATGGACAAAAGAACTTCAAACAAACGCACTCACATACAACTTCAATGACACTCAAGAAAACCGTAATAGAAAATGTGAAGACGAGAGAGAGAGAGAGAGAGAGAGAGAGAGAGAGAGAGAGAGAGAGAGAGAGAGAGAGAGAGAGAGAGAGAGAGAGAGAGAGAGTATTACTTCTGCTACCAAGGGGCTCAGTTGAGCTCTGACAATGTACCTCCTATGACAAACGGACAGATTGACAAACTAGTAGACAAATAAAACACAGGTATTTCGACAACCCAGTACACCTCTTCGCAGATAATTACACTTCAAACTTTCAGAGTCCAAGGTCGTATCATCGAAGTGTTTATTAAGGAAAATGAAAGTGGCAAATGATAATGCACTTCCTAGTGAATGAGCAGCTCGTGCCTACAGCTCCATAAATTTGCATGACATTTCCGTGCTTATCCTCTGCCATGTCATCTTCACTTGGCACCCAACAAAAAAGCTGCTCCCTGTGCATAATGTTCTTCTACACCCTGTGGCTAACCCTTCATTTCTCTCTGTTCTCTCCTCTCTTTAGGATCTCAACAGTGGACACTATTTGCATCATCATCTTGCCCAGACCCGACCCTTCTTGCTCCCAACATAGTTTATCGTATTTCTTCTCCATCTTTCAGCTACATTTGACGATCCATGAGTCCAGGCATGCCTGACAACACAGGGCTTCCCGATCTCGCTATCATTCTTCGGCGGACACCAAGATCCTCTAGGCCAAGTGTACCAGGCACCACAACAGGTGCACCCGTATACCCTGAGAACCCCCAAGGTCTAGACCCTGTCACGGTCATCACGACATATGGTAATGAGCTCTCTGTTGTCGATCCTGCTCGACCAGTAATCAATGAGGCATAATTAACGGAGGCTGGTGACTGCCGCACAACCTCCATTTCCTCCCTACTGAAACACGTTGCACCAGCAATCGTCATTCTGCTTGGCCCTCTATTAATTGACTCATTCATCTCACTCAAATCATGTACACCTTCCCCTGTTGATGTGGATTACAACACTGACACCGTTGCAAGTGATGCAGATGCTCACACCTGCAAAAGAAGACCAACAGAAGTAAGTCAGTGACTTTCATTTCCCCTTTTGATTCCTTAATTGAAACTGTTCACATAATTACCCACGAAGTTGTTATAAAATAGAAATAAAACCCACGCATTAAGCAACATCTGGCTCGCTTCTCACATCACTAACCTACCAAAGTCAAACCTGAGACATCCAAGAAGTGCAACCCTTCCTATCTTCAAGTTCCAAACAAGTATATGAAGAGAACACAAGGGAAAAGTGATGGTAAGGGGATACAAGGGGCAAGCCAGGAAAAGCTAAGAGAGGGTAAGTGGGGAGCGCATGCTGGATGGGCAGATGGGTTGGCAAGGGTATCGTAGACGTGTCATTTACAAACCACCTCTTTTAGCGAAGGCCTTTGATAATACTGGCCTCACTTCTCAAGCCACCTAATTCCAGAGTCAGGCCCAAGAAACTAATTTCAAGGATTACAGCCCGCTTTCGTTTTCCTAACAGACACACAAAGAGAAGAAAAAAGGACCGGGAACAACAAGGAAGTCCAATGGTCAAGACTGAAGAACCAAGACTGGACAAATGGGGATGGACGACTGGGCTGGCAAGGGTATTGAGGGGGTATCATTGACATACCCTGTCCTTTTGCGAAGAACTTTGCTGGATGCTATCCGATGTGATCTGCAAACTTATCTTTTCTAGTGGCAAACTCGAGTACATCATATCAACATCATCAAATTCGTGGAGGTTTTCTTGATTCCTCTCCAAGTACTCCTCAATAACGTCTGTCACCTCATTTGACCTTTTCACGGCTGATCTCATCATTATGGAACAATCTCAGGACCTAAGAAAGCACACACTGAGATTCCACACACATTCTTGTGCAATAAAAACCTGCCTGTTGCCATTCAGCATTGTGACTGAATGGTACACACATATCAATGTTGACATTCAGATCATGCGTTCAAACTGTGTTGGACATAACAGTCATACACTCTAGCCCCTCTGTCTCTCTCTCACGCACACACACT